AATGATGCAACGCTACATGATGTATGTTGTGCAAAATGCAAATGCATTTCAAGGAACTCAAAAGTTATGTTTGTAAACACCATAAATTGGATGACACATTTTGATAACTGAAAATCCCATTAAAAATGTGAAGGATTACGAAATAGAGTACAACTTCCAAAATTCATGGTAAAACCTATGATGTTTGCAAGATAAGTTCATTGAGAAGGGTCCCAAAAAAAGGTGCATGAATGCATGGAAGGATGAACGAATTTATGCACAAATACAAGTATTCACATATTCACATATATGCAAACAAATAAGGGCCTAGGTTTGAAGATCATGAGTATGGAGCCATGGTCTACCCATCCCAAAAGGTGTGTATTATGGGTTTATTTGTACATGTACAACTGGTTCTACAAAAGTTCCTAAATTCATCAGTCCATCTTTCGGATATTATCAATTTTCTAATTACTCAGTGGTTAATAATATTCTCAAGAGAACCTCTTTTGAGTGTAGTATCACGTACCAACTATTTTGGGACTACTCTCTCATAGTCATCGCACTACGTTCTGAGAAGTCCAAGTTGGATTAAGGGTAACTAAATGTCCTCAGCTTCACGGGCTCCTAGGTCGAAAGTAGTAATGTTTTCACGAATACTCGTTCAACAACACTACTCCCAAGAGGGCCTCAACTAAGTGGTGGTTTCTCAAGTTAGCTTGGTTGGGAATCAACTCTCTATAAGTCTCCTTGAATATACCACATTCCTATCATAGGTTCTCTCAAGTTTGGGTTAGGACTTATCTCACAACACAATATAGAAACCCAAGTAGATACAGATATATACAAATATACAAGTATACAGATATACAACAAATAACACGCATAAAAAAAGTTAGGTGTAACTCTCCCAGTGAAGTTGTCATTTCTGTTATGGTGAGAATCGAATATCAAGCTATTGACTAACTTGAATCACAAATCATTATTTACCACCGATCTCTGATTTATCCAAGGGAAGGGAAAAAGAACAAATAACACATAAATATGCAATTCAATGCAAAGCAAAAGAGAATCTAAGGTTCGGGGGTTGGTTATACCTAGGGAAGGTGCTAGCATGCTAAGTATCTGTAGTACTCTGACGGAAGGTGTTATTTCTAAGGTTCGGGGGTTGTCCGCTAAAGAGTGAAGAGATAAAGGGAGAACTAAGGTGTTATTTCTAAGTATGTTCGCCAAGACATTGCATCTCGTGCCTACGTATCCTGACGGGAATGGAATCAGAGCATTCGTAGTTTCTCTTAATAAGGGTGAGGAATTCTTGACTATGGTCAAGGTTCCAAGGGGAGAGGTAAGTGTCTATGGCAGAACACCTACATAGAGTTAAGAAACTCTAAACCTAAGGTTAGGTTGAAAGGGAGGTAAGTGTTTTTATTAACGTTTCTAAAATAGATTAGAAATATCATTAAAGTATTTTTGTATTTTTGAGAAAAGAAAGAGATTTTAGTTTTAAGAAAAGAAATACTCGATAAAAGATCGAGGTTTGAATTTGCGTGACGGCGATTGCAAAAGGCAACCAACTTATGAGGGAAGTAACCACTTAATGTTAGATCAAGGGTTTAAGAAAAAGTTAGGTCGATTCCTATATCCTAATGGTGCTCCTAGTAAACGAAACCACAAACAAAAAAACAAAAAAAGATGCAAGTGTGAGCATTAGGTTGATGGTGATGCTAAAAAGCAGTCGACTTACAAGTTAGGGTATGACTTGATATATGAATCAAGAATTTTTTGAATTTGGTTGACGGCGATCGTAGAAACAATCCACTTACAAAGGTGTTTTGAAAAAGGGCTGGATATTGAATCGAGAATTAGTATAAAAATGGTTTGAGCGTGTAAGTGAGAGATGGATAAAACATTAAAATACAATAAAGATGAAAGTGATAAAATTATTACACTTAATGGGAACGAGGTACATTTTATCGGATGGGGATGAAATGAAAAGATTATAAGTAAACTCAATTAAATAAATAAGCGCAAGCATGAAAATAAAATGAGCTTGTTGGTTTTGACTTGAGAAAAAGTGTCTCGACGTTGGATCGAGTATTTATTCTTTTTTATTCTTTTTTAAAAAAAAAGAAGTTGATTTTATGTTTTTTTGTTGTATTTTATCTATTATTCAATTAATTACTTTTTCTAGCTAATGAAAAATAAAATCAATAAAATCAACAAACAAAACAATAAATAATAAAATTAGACAACTCACATAAATCTATATACACAAAGTAAAATAAAATCAATCACAAACATTAAGATAAAATGCTTGTTTTATTTTTTTTAAATTTTGTCATTTTTTTAATTTTAAAAAACTTTGCTTTAATAAAAAGAGAAAAAAAAAAGATTTCTAAACACCTAACATATTAATAAAAAGATTTCTAAGAAGTAAAACAAACAAAATCAATAAAAAAAAATTTATGAACATACAACGAAAGGGATAAGAGAAAGCTACCACAAACTGAGGTTGAGCGGTGCCGAAGGTGTGTATGGTTGCGTATATTTCAGTTTGTTCTATAGAGATTTTCATGGTGCTTTGTGAATTTGTTATGAGTTTGAAAGAAATATGGTTTTGTTGTTGTTATTCATGAGCCTGTGTGAAGATGAAGTATGACCTCTCTTTTATTTATTTATTTTGTTTTAACGAGAGAGAGAGAGAGAGAGAGAGAGAGAGAGAGAGAGAGAGAGAGAGAGAGAGAGAGAGAGAGAGAGAGAGAGAGAGAGAGAGAGAGAGAGAGAGAGAGAGAGAGAGAGAGAGATGAAATATAGACAAGAATGATAATAACAATTAATACAATATTTTTTGTTTTTTATAATAGGACAAGAATAAAAGAAATTAAAAATCATGTTTGTGTGTTTTTTTTTATGATAAGATAAGAATAAAAGGAATTAAAAATCATGTTTTTGTGTTTTTTATGGTAAAACAAGAATAAAAAAAATTAAAAATTATGTTTGTGTTTTTTTATAATAAGACAAGAATAAAAAAAAAAATTAAAAATCATGTTTTTGTGTTTTTTTATGATAAGACAAGAATAAAAAGAATTAAAAATTATGTTTTTGTGTTTTTTAAAAAGAAAATATTAAGAAACAAATTAAAAATAAAATTTTACATTAAATATATAATTAAATCTAAATAAATTAAATGATTATTTAAAATAAAAATGATTAAAAAACGAAATAAAAAGTCGGGCAGAAAAGTGCTCAAAAAAATAAAATGAACATACCAAAATAAATAGCGTGAAATAAACATATTATAAAAATATAGCGTTTGGTCAGATTTTAAAATAAATTTAGACCGATTTGTCTGTAAATCCAACAAATTTATTCTGACTGACATTTCAGACACTATGCAAGATGAAGTGCATGTTATGCTATGCAGATGATGCAAAACGAAATACTGAATCTTGGGATAAAAAATTAGGATATGACAGCAGCATGCAGGGATTGACTTTATGAGCATGTCTCAATATCTGGATGATGTCGAAGATGCCTGCTATTTTTCATTGTTCTTAACGTTTGCTTTGAACCCTATCAAGCAAGGCCAAGTAATCCTTGTTGTCGGAAGTAGGCATCGACCGAAAAACCCTAGCATTTGGATCCATGAACTTCAATTCGAGAAAACCCTTCTTTTCAAAAGCATGTGGAATGACGGAAGTATAGCAAGAAAAGTATTCTTGAACCTTTTTCGGGTGTGTCCTTTCATGTCCCATGGAAGGAAACAAATTTTTCAACAACAATAAAAGGAATAAGCATTTGTCGCTATCAGTTCTCCACCGTAGATTTGTCAGTTGACAGTGGTTGAGGAATGGTTTTTAGACCCTCTTCTTCAGTAAGGATGGATGCTATAAGATTGTTACCAGTGTTGTGAGTAGTAGAAGGCATGATAACAAATGCTCTAGAATATATATATAGCAAATTTTATAAAATATTCGATAAAATACAAATTTGTCATACTTTTTATTTCAAACAATTATTGCATTTGTATCTAATTTGTTACAATTTAAATATCCAGTATAAATGCAAGAAAAACAACAAAATAAACTTACTTTTCAATAATCCGTCCAAATGTAAATTAATCAATTCTAGAATGAATTTAGTTTAAGAGTCTTATAGTTTTATATTATCTAGAGTATATGCTCTTATGTGAAAGTGCCTGGTGCAACCATGAGGGTGTCAAGTAAATTCCTCAAATATCTTCTCTCCTAAAGACAGAAGCTCCATATATGTGTGAAACGATGAAACCTATTCGACAAACGTATATTGTTGTATTTGACAGTGTACCCCATTGACCGTGCACTTCATAAGCCAAATATACAAGTGTAATTTTTGGAATACATGGAAAATTTATCCAGATAAAAAACCTAGAATATAGTCATTTTCCAACAAAGCTTTATTATGATAGAATTCACTTTAATTCCATCAGTGAATTGTTTTAACTATGAAATTATTGAACAAATGTTCCCAACAAGTGCCATGGCTCTAGAGAATTACAGGTTACTGGAATCATTCCAAAGAGCTAACAAACTACTACTCCAAAGAAAAAGTGACTGATTCATCAAGGGGATAAGTTATCAAGTTCTTTAAAAAGTTAAGCTCCAACTAATATTGAAGTATATCACAAGATAGAATAGGGAAGCAATCTAAATTTCAAAGGAACATTTTAAAGACAACTGCATTGGCAAACCAAGGAAATATTGGTTTTCCAAACTTACCATATTCTGTTTGTCGTTGAAAAACTAGTTATATACAAAACTAATATAACAAACACACAGAAAATCCACTAATCACTTAAGAATCAATTAACTAAAATACAAGGGCAGTAAAGACGAAGCAAAGAGTTAAACGAACCATGGTTATTTCGAAACTGCTAAAAAGTCAGATGGGTGCTACTGTTTGGTATGAATGTCTACTAGGTATTTATTTACACAGTTGCAATGATAAAAAGAGAAAATAAAATTGAAATAGTTTGCCTTCATCTAAGTTTTCCCACCATTGCTGTGATGGCTGTTGCCGTTGCTGTATGTATTTGGGTACTTCACATCCAGACGTTCTAAGCCCCATATCCGGACTGTGCTGTCATCACTGGCTGAGGCCAACATGTGGGGGTTAGCTGGATTCCAGCTCACACAGTTAACGGCTCCAGAATGGCCAGGCAATGCATCTACCAATTCCCCTGAGCTTCTGTGCCATATGTAAACCTAGCAAACAAAATCCAATAAACTCAAAAATGGCTTCCCAGGTAAAATTTATAGAAATGTTTATAAGGGGAAAGTTAATCAAATAAATTCTAAGTTGGTCTCTGAAATATTAAATCGGTCCTCTAATATCTAGAACTCATAATAACACTCCAAGGGTTATGTTTTAACTAAAACAATGACAGTTAACACTTTCAAAAACATTATTAGCAATTTCTTAATTTGAGACTAGTCTGACAACACTGGATGTAGTATTCGATATTCCACACTTCAATCAACTATAACATAGGCAACCTCAAGTAAAATAAACATAATGTCTTTTATAGACTGCCAAATAGATTAATACCTGTGAATCCTCACTTCCACTAGCAATAAATGATTGCTGGTACCCACCAAAGCAAGATCTAATGATAAACCGGGAGCGTTTGTGACTTTTATACTTGCTAACAAGCTTAGGGTCACCTTCTATATTCCAAAGATGTATTTCTTGGTTCAAAAGATTAACCAACAAGAATCTACTATCCTTTGACAGAGAGAATGAAGTTATCGCCTGATCCTCTTCAACAAATCTCTCATGCTTCGTTTCTTTATTGAAGAACAGTATTGCGTTCTCTTTACAAATACTAAGATGTTCCCCATCAACAGTTATTTCCAAATCAGAAATCTTGAGGGTTTTTTGTCCTGTCCAAGACTCCACTTCTGTCCCATCTAATTCCCACATGCATATGCTCTTGTCGCTGAGACCGGAAAGTACATACTTTCCACAAGGAAACCATGCACAGGAGATAAAGCCAGAACCATTCTTTTCATAAACTTGCAGGCAGTCACCCGTAGAGACATCCCAACGCATAACAGCTTCCTCCACTCCACATGTGAGAAGCTCCTGGCCATTAGGACTCCATGAAACAGATGAGACGGGTTTTTGGTGACCAGATAGTCTATGCTTCATTGACAGTCGACCATCTTTAGCAACCTATAGAAGTACGTCAAAAAAAAAAGAGTGAAACCCAATATTATAGCATAAGTGACAATTGTTCATGCAAAAAAAGAGTGAAACCCAATATTATAGCATAAGTGACAATTGTTCGTGCAAAAAAAAAAGAGTGAAACCCAATATTATAGCATAAGTGACAATTGTTCATGCAAAAAAAAGAGTGAAACTCAATATTATAGCATAAGTGGTGATTGTTCATGCAAAAAAAAAAAAAAAAAAACCCAATTCCTAAAAGCAGATCATTAATTTGGATCCTCTCCCACAGCTTTTCTACATCATCTCGTTTCTACCTATCTCTCAATTATTTTCTCTCTCCTAATCACATCATCATTTTTCCCATCTTCTCTTTGCTTTCACTCACTCTTTTTTGCTCGATAAATAATGCATGTGAGAGATGATTTATAACCTGGCCACATCATAAAGAGGGTTACGGTCTTTTACTATTTTTCGATAAAACATGAACTGAGCAAAAGTAAAGAAAATGTAACATAGAATTCGACACTGTTGGACCAGGGATTATGCTATTGCTAACAAATGCGGATATCCTTTGTAACTGAGAAAGAAAAACTTCAAGTATTATGTCAAATTGAGTTATATGACAGTGCATAACAACTTACAATTGGTCTCTGCATTTAGGATCTTATGTTTAAAACAGAACAGAAGCATATATTTCATCATCAGATATTACCTCCCAAATGATTGCAGTTTGATCTTTTGATGCTGTGGCTAAATATTTCCCATCGTGTGAAAATTGTACAAACCATACTTCATCATCATGGGCATCTAATACCTGCCAGATATGTGATGGATAAGAAAATAGCATCAGAACAGATATACTGCTCATCCTATAGAAAGAAATGCATGATTGTCATGGTTAAACATGTTCAATGTCTAATAGCGATCAAAGAATACCATATAGACCATGCACATAACTAACAGTCAAAAAACATACTCCCTCTGTCCCTAAGTATAAGCACCCCCATTTGACAAAATTTGTCCCCAAATATAAGCCCTTTTTCAAACTACAAGATACATTTATTGCATCTTTTCCAAATAAACCCCTAAATATTGCATCTTAGAATATGAAAAGTCAAAATTAACTGCTATACAAATATAAAAGGATATTTTAGGTAAAACATCACATAAATAGACATGTTAATTACACTGACAATTTTTTTAGTAAGCGTGAAATATGCAATGGGGACTTAAATTTAAGGATGGAAGGAGTATACTATAATGATCTTGGTCTATAGAAATGTACAATTACAGTTTAAACTAAATAAGATCTGCCGTTCTGCATTGATCATATGGAGAATAGACAAATAGTTAGAGATAGAGAGACTATGAAAAACCATTCGTCAAACCATGTCACACCTACTCTTATAAACAAGGACTGAAGTGCTTATCTTCCACTCACCCAGAATTGTCTTACACGTCATAGTCTGGGCAAACAAATCTTATGATCATCTTATGCCTTTTTCTTCTATAGTCTTACATGTCTCAATAAGTGAATTATCTAGTTTAACTCGTCACTCACTATTTATCCTTGATAGCAAACCAAAACAAAGAATACTGGAAATTGTATAACTGACTAGAAAACTACATGTTCTATTGCTTCTTTTTTCCCCATCTTGGAATCGAAATTAGCATCTGAAAGAATAAACCTAAATGCAAAATTACAATTAAGGAGACATGCATCTCAAGTTGGTAGCTCAGTTGGTAAGATGAGACGTTGAAGGAATTATAACCAGAAGATTAGGATTCAATCTCTGGAATCTAATATAACTACATTTACTAACATTTGCCTATGAAGAAAAAAAACATCTGACAAAAATTCTAGTCCGTTTCTATACTTGTAATGATTCCTTGTATCTTCATATTTTTATTTTAAGATTTTGATATGTCAATAATAAGGAGATTCAGAAGTTTTATTTTCAATTTTGATAGTCTGTTGTTAATGTCTTAGTTTAAGGATTAAGTTTAGCTTTGGATAGCTCTGGCTCCGGTCCTACAAAATCCTTAAATGCTCATTAGAGTCACACTGATTCATCTCTCCAGCTAGAAAACAAGATAAGATTTATTTATTTATGTACACTCTCCAGACTCAATTATAAGCAAAGTACACTCACACTTATTGAGAATGTTTGTTGAGTCTATTTAATTTGCTTGATTTGATGTCAAAAAAGAAAATACACTTACTAGCCTACCCCTAATTATAAATGGTCATCTCCTCGCAACATTAAGGAATTAAGGATTGGTTTGGAAATTCTTATTTTGACTTTTGAGGCTATATCATTCTTCATGATCTTCTTCACATTTATGACCCTTTCCTCGTAATTATTTCTTGTTCCCTTTCTCAGTAAAAGTTGTTAGCAATTAGTTATGTTTTAAAAAAACTTGTTAAAACATATCTCTAGATCTCAATTGGAGTCAGACCAGTCACCATTGCCAGACTGAAACCTGTGATTAAATCTGGGTCAGTGTTGACAATTGCGAATAGCTGAAAATAGCATATTGTTGAAATTCCGGTATGCATTAGTGATATAATGCCACTATAGCAGCTATTTGACAACATTTGTTACTAAATAGCATATAGTAGAACAATAGTGGTATAGTGCCGGTATAGCGGCTATTTAACAATATTGATATAGGTGGGAGTGTTGTGCCAGTCTTAAATCAAGTGGACTACATGAATATCAGAACTAGGTGTGACCATACCACACATGGAACTCCTCTAATGACAAAAGGATATAATTTTCACATCAAAACTATGTCCTGAGCATCCAGGGTGCATATAGATCATCCTTGTGTTGCCTTCTGCTCAAAGCAGTGGCTTAAAGTTGTAAAATAAAAACATGGCAATAATGAGTATGATTGTGACACACAAAATAAAGGTGAAACTATTTCAATTAGAGCAACAGAATCTATATTTACAAATATTAAAGTCAATAAGTACAAACGGAAACACACAGGATAAGGAAACACACAGGATAAGGTTGAGTACTGAAACAATAGATCCACAACAAGGAGAGGGCTTCAAAAGAGGAGATAGCCAACAAGACAAGACATAAGTAATTTTGATCTTTTACTATTTACAGGTATTGGCAAGTTGCTACATTAAATATTCACAAAATCCATTACTTCAAAACATCCTTTAATAATTTAGTACATCTATCAAATGTAAAAAGATAACAGAATATATAGTAGTGGAAAGTAAACTGAAACTAAACTGCGATAGAAGGTGCAAGGAAATACTGACTCTAATACAAGTAAAGACAAACAATATACTAGCCTCTTATCATACAACCTCTTAAGAAGAAAAGAAGTAAAGAAACAAGACAGTTCTAGGATGCAAAGAGCAAACAATAAAAATGATATTTTGCCACTGCCAATAACAAGTCAACAATGAAGAGTTTGCAAACAGTTACAATGAAGTTAAGAAGTATAAAGGTCAAAAATAAAGATTCACATATAAACCTCAATCTTTTGAACATAACATTTTCTAACCTGTATTGTACTAGATGGTATCTGAGTTTTTCCACAATGGTGATCTGAATATAATGACATATCCTTATCCAATATATTGTGAAATGAGCAAGCTTCTCGTTGCAAGATGATGGCTTGTTCAACTAGCTGTTCCAATCTTTTCTCAGGTATCATTACAGTCGGAGGAATCAGTTTCTGTAGTTTCTCCAGCAGTTCCGACCGAGTCCTCGCCCTTATAAAATCTTGCCTAGAAGAACCATCTTGGCCACGCCGAGACACTAAACAGGAAGAAAGTTCGCGAATTCTAGTACTATCAACACAAAGTTGTGTGATCTCAGCCCTCAATGTATTCAATGCATCCATGACCTTATCCCCATCAAGAAGCTCAAAAAATTTCTGCTCCAGTATTAAAACTGAGGCGGCCTTGACAATGCTTTCATCTTTTAGACCAATATTTTTCAATGTAGCTACACTTTTTTCCCAATCACCATCACTTATCTGCTGCTTAAACTGACTTACCTCAGCCGAATTCAATTGTAAGCCAGATTCCGCTTCTAGGTTTTCCCCACTCTTCTGGTAACCAAGAGAATACAATGCCTCCGTGATTATCCTTACAAACTCCCCTCTTTTGATAATCCCTTTCGAACCAACAACTCCGTCGGCCCCTTCATTTGACAGGGGGCGAGCCATCACGTCACTTGAAGATCCTACAATGCACTCCACTGAAGACGAACAGTTAGAAAGACTATAATATCCTGTGGCTGACAATTTCGTTCTTTTTAAAGCTGGTTCTTCATCTTCCACACCTCCCATGAAAAGTGCACCTCAGCCCATATATAAGTAGTGAACAAAAAGATAGCCAAGAGACAAATTTCTGCACAAGAAACAACAAGAACCATCAATAACAAATAATCAAATACCATATAACTCAATAAAGAAACATTCAAACATCACAAGAAACCTGTATTTGGTATATCATATATCATATCACTATAATGGAATTAATTCATATATAGTGTTGATGCAAAGAATCTTCACTCATTTCAATCATAATTACTCAAAGAATCACATGATTTTGTAAGTGCAAAATTCACACCTAAAGTATATCAAAATTAAACTCAAGTTATCATAACCAGAAAAATCAAACTAGTCAAATTGAACTGATTTAGCGTCAAAGCGCATAACATTTGCACCGCAAATTCTATCCCTAAATAACAATATCAAAATCGAGAACAAGAAAATTTATTTTCTAAGGTAATAAACAAGAATCAGAACTTCATAACAGAAAATCGGAATCCGCGGATCCAGGAACAGCATAAGAACAAGAAGAAGGAAATGACTCACCGACTTACCGGAAAAGCGAGAGGAAGGATCTGAAGTTCGCCGGAATCCGATGAGCGGTCGGTTGTAGAGCACCGCCGATTAGTTTCTTTGGCCTGTAACCGAATTCTATGTTTCTTTGTTTGTGCAGTTACCGAAGCAGAAGAAAGAGATTGGGTGATATGAACATGTGTTTAATATATTTATAGAGAGAAAATTTTCATCGATTATTCTACTCAATTTCTCTTTTACTTTTTCTAATTTTTCTTTTCTTTCTACTAATCTACATTGGCTTCCACATCTCTTGCTCTCACCACACCACCTCACCTATTTTTCATTTTTTCTTTTCAGTTTCACCTCTTTGCTACTGCTTAAATTTCACTTTGTTTTTTTTTATTTATTTTTAATTTGGTAGTAGTATGTTTTTAGTCTCATATAACAATAATAAAATGCATATGAATGAAGATTATCTCACTGAAAATAAAAATCGCAAAGATTTTATACTAAGATTATTTTACTCTATATTTTTATTATAGTCAAATTAATAGGGTGGCATGCGTTTAGATATTTTTCGTAAAAGTCTAGAAAAAAAATGAGATAGAACGCGACAGATATAATTGAGATATAATTGAGGATGCGGACTTAAAACTTAAACTTATTCTACTGATAAGTGAAGATGGGACGGAAAAAAATCCATGGACACTGCACTTTTAATTTTAAAATTGCAAAAATTTATGTAAATACTTGTATCGGTAAAAGGCTGTGAAAAAATGGAGCGGGGCAAAACAGAGACATTAGAGGGTAAGAGCACAAACCTTTAATCCGTCCCTTACTAAAGTGCGACTAAAACAGATATGTCTAATGAGTCGGACCTGTTTTGTTATTCCTACTTCTATGATGATACTATTGAAAATTTTAATAAATTTTTTTTTAAGTAATTAATCTTTACAAAGAAACATCTTCAATTTAATTAAATATTAATAATGAAATTAATATTTGAAAATTTGGAAGGGAGGGGACAAGGGGACTTCGAAAAATGATCTTTTAAAAATTCAAAATCCTTTTGATTCTTTTAAAATCTTTTTAATCAAAATTATTATATACTTTTCATCCAATTCTTGTTATTTTTCAAAATTCTTTTCACATTTTTCTTCTAAACTGTCAAACAAAGTCTAAGAATTTATTTTGAAGTTGGTTTTTTTAAAGATTTTAGAGATGAAGGCTTTGAAATATTGCAGCTATATTTTAAAATATGTTTGATGTTTTTAAAAAATTTACAAAATAATATATTACATCAAAATATAAAATCATATTGTTTTTTAAACATTTTAAAAAGTTTAAAAAATAATATATTACATCAAAATATAAAATCATATTGTTTTTTAAATATTTTTAAAATATCAAATACATTTTAAGATATAAACACAACCCAACAAAATCTTCCATTTCAAAATCCTTTTAAAATAAACTCACAAACTGACCCTAAAGATTTATGTTTGAGTCAACGACGTGAGATCAATCGTATTACCTAATTGACGGTCTCTTAGCATATTAACAATACGCTAACATTAAACTTCAACAGTTAATGCAGATATTGAACATAAATATATGTATAGACTATAGACTTCAGCATATCGAATAGATGAAAGACTTTGACCAATATCTTTTGAATATCAAGTCATACCATGAAAACATGTTTTAGGTAGCTAATCTAAAACAAGCATTAAGAACAAATAATCTATCAATATTAAAACTTAAGAATAATTACATAGAACGACATGATTGGAATCAAAACATGATTACTAGAACAAAAGAAAGAAGTTGAACAGCATCTGCGACAATTCCTTGAGTAGCGCTTCCACCCTCAATCTTCCTCTCTTATTCTCTCTTGTTGTGATTTGTGGTGAGAACATACTTTCTTTAAGAACCACCTCAAATCCAATGATATATCTCATTTACGCTTAATGGAACCCTTATTTATATGTTTTGAAATTGGTAGGCTTGCTAAGCGCATCGTCCAATCTTACTTGGCCTGCCTACTTTCTTCCTTACAAAACAATGTTAGATCACCTTCAACTTGATTTTTTTGCCTTAGTTTGCTAAGTGTGTCGTGTATCCTTGCCTACCGCATGAATCCTTCATTCACCTTCAAGTAAATTAGTCTTGAAATCATGAACCACCTTTGCTCGCTAAACATGCATGTGTTTTTGGCTTAGCGAGGTTAGTCGTTTAATCTTGAAGTTGCTTGGCCATGAAATCTTCTTTGTCGCTTTTGCTCCCTAAGTGTGCATATGTTCTTGGTTTAGCGAGTTTTCCTTGTTATAAAAGTGCTTTGGCAAGGCCTTTGTGTCGCTCTGGTGGTTTTTTTAGTTATTTTTAGTCAATGTGGAGTTAAAAAGTCGAAACAGACATTTTATCACTTTTCATTGATAATCAGGGTTTTTTCATTGATTACTTATAAAATAAGTTAACAAGTTCCTACGTGTTTATCGTATTTTCGGCACTTATCAACTCTCCCAACTTATCCTTTTGTTTGTCATTAAACAAAATTCATTTAAATGGTTCTGAAAAATTTGAAATGCATGTTTCATAAGAAGTGAAATGACTTGAGCAATAGCTTTTAAAAATACATTGTTTTATGACATGATTTTCTTTATGATGTAAGTTCATAATTGATCTGAATAGTTGATTAGAATAAGTGAGGGGCCAGCAACACATCTGCGATCTTGAACGGTCGAACAATGGGGGGTGTACCTGCAGGCACTCTGATGCTTAAGTCAGTTCGAGTGAAAAGGTATGTAAGAAATGGTTAAAGGATAGAATACCTGACCCTCTTGCAGAGGAGGTTTTTTATGGTGAGCCCCTAGCGCTTGGCTAATGATCTCCGTTATGGGCTGAGTGTTCAGGCCCACATCGGATGACTGCCAGGATTCCCACGAGAAAGTAGGAATGAGCAGGTTGTGCTCATCGTCTTGGATCAACCGCTTTCCACTCCTCGGATAGTGAATGGACTTGTCCATTACGAAGAGAAGAATGGTTCTGTGATGTGTACGAGATCAGTTGGTGATGTGTCCCCAGGAGAGGAGCACGTGGGGAACATGTTCTCTATTGGGCCCAACGGGTTAGGCCAACACTTTGGGTCATCCTCGAAGCAGAACTGGATTGGGCTGTGCTCGGCGATGGGTTAGCCACAGGCCCAGTCCAGAATAGGATCCCCCCAATTCGTTGCTCATAGGCAAAGGATCAATGACTTAAGGTCATTTCGTGTGTCGAGGAAGAACAAGGGACTCTCTACGATGAGAGCATTCATTCGGGCTCGCGTTTTCGAGCTCGCGTTGCCGTAGACAATGTTCGCCATGGGCGTCTCTTGTTCATGAGTTTGCACCCACGAGGATGATTTTTGCTCGTAACTCGTTGGGTTTTAGTTACGAGGGAGACGCGTCGTGTATGGACTGCGGTTGAGAGTTTAACCTGCGCTTGTATTGAGTGTTTGGCTCTGCTCGTGAGTTATCATGTTGCATGTACATTTGCTTCAATCTTTTCGTCGAGGCTACGCTCGTGAAGGAATGCGAAAGTTTTTCGCCGAGGCCATGCCCGTGAAGGAATGCAGAAAAATTTCGCCGAAGCCATGCTCATGAAGGAATGCGAAAGTTTTTCGCCAAGGCCATGCTCATGAAGGAATGCAAAAGTTTGTCGCTTGTGTTCGACAAGAGATGTTCGACGTCTTGGAGTCCGAAAGACTGATGGTACTAAAAAAGATAAACATTTTGTTCCCTCGAGCCACGTGTTATAGCTATTAAATACATAATGATGGCCTATGAGTAGGGGCAATAATGATCCAAAACGGTGACACGTTTGCTCAAACGGTGCCACACTTTCCCATGTAGTGGAGCTGACTTATAAATAGGAAGATAAGAGGGTCATTTGCAAAGTTCGCATTCTCCTTCCCTCCATTTTCCTCTGAGTTGCTAACCATCCGTCGTTGTTTGGGTCGTTGTCGCCGTCATCAATCCTTCATTACTCTCCAATATCAAGTAAGTATACTTCTTCTTCTGGCTTACATGTTAGTTTTAGAATGTAGATTTGCCTCCTCTCTATGTTTTGTTCTTGTGGATGTTGGTGTTTGGTGGTGGTTTGGCCATTTCCAAACACCGGCCATTGGGGGTTTTTATGTTAGAATCGTGTTTTTGAGTAGGAAAGTTAGTATTTTGCATGTTATTTCTTCTGATAGCCATTCTGGCGCCGCTATTAAGGTAGTGGGTAGAACTTGCGCCGGCGGAGCTTATGATCTTTCTGATGAAGCTCCGTGTCGGGAAGGCTTTTCCCCGTGGTTTTCTTAGTGCGTAATTGAGGCCTCCGTCGAGGAAAATATCCTCGCGATTCCCTTGCTTGCTGCTGAATAAGGGATTTGGTCGAGGGCAACGTCCTAGTGCCTCTCTTCGCCCTTTCACTTGATTTGCAGTGGAAGGGTGGATTTGATTTGGTCGTCGAAT